AAAGGAGAGAGGCGGCGGCGGCGCAGGCGACGGGGAGGCGGCGGCGACACCATGTCATCCCCCAGTCCGGGCAAGAGGCGGATGGACACGGACGTGGTCAAGCTGTATCCTTCGTGGAGGGGGCATTAGGGCTGTGTATGGGGTGGCGTGGGGGACCCAGGGTGTCCCCCGGCACCCAAGCAAGGACCCCGGGGCACTCGGGGCCACTGTCCAAGCTCCCTTCCTCCCCCTGGCGACGGCGGCTCCAAGGCACCTCCCAGGGGCCGAGGGCCTTCCCAACTCCCCTTTATGTGCAGCACCCCGAAATATGTGCTGCTTCTGGGTTTTGAGCCTGTGGAGCCCATGACTTTTCTTGCACGACGTTTTCGATTCCCAAGACGTCCTTTTCTTTCTTTCTTTTTTGGGGCAGGATTACCCGCCTTACTCTTAAACACCGAGCCCGTCTTCAGGGTTTCTCTTTTCCTGTTTGCTCTCTCTGGTTTTAGGGACTCGGTAGAAATTTCCTGATAGGGACGCCTTTCTTCCTTTCTTAAGATGCGCCCTTTCTTGAGATGTCCTCATTCCCTCCATTTACAGTGCTTCTTGAACTGGGGTAACTCCGGCGACCTCCTTTATCCCTAATTCCTTTCTATATTAGGAAGAGAGTACTCTGCTCAGGGCCTCTCTTCTAATAAAGAGCTCTGTGTGTTTCAAATCAGAGACTCCTTAAGCTCTCTGGTCCCTGGAAGAACCTTCCAGTTTTCCTTTCTACTGACAAAGCCTAACCCACCTATAGTTGTGTGCAGTGAGGACCCCCAGGCCCTCTAGCAAGCCCCCCTCCATATTGTGAATCTGACAGCTGGGAAGGAGCGATGGAGGAGCTCCCCGACTCCCCTGTAATGTCCACTTAAGCAGAACCCCCCCCACCCCCCCATGAGGGAGAGGTGCTGGGGGACTGATTGCCCTGATCTTGCCAAGTGACATCCTTTACTTCCTGCCAACCCCCAACTTTATACACTCGAGGTTGCAGTGGGAAAGCTGTAACTGATAAGAGTCCTTCAGGCAGAGGTTTTGGTTGGAGTCCAGAGATTATTTCATGACCAGCTAGAGAAATTCGCGAAGGTTCCTAAGACAAATCGAGGAATTTTTTTTTAATCCTGTGTCCTGTCTCCTGTTTCTTTAGGCCTCACCCCCATCCCCCCACCATTTCCCCCTGTTGCGGGGGTTTGTTTATGTAACTCAAGTTGTTGGCTGGATTTTTCAGGTGAATTTCTTCCTTTTATTTGCTGTTGCTTTTGATGGACTGTTTTACCTCTTTGTAGAGATCTATTATTATGATCAAATAATCAGTTATGGAATTTGTCCTGTCTCCTGTTTCTTTAGGCCTCACCCCCATCCCCCCACCATTTCCCCCTGTTGCGGGGTTTTGTTTATGTAACTCAAGTTGTTGGCTGGATTTTTCAGGTGAATTTCTTCCTTTTATTTGCTGTTGCTTTTGATGGACTGTTTTACCTCTTTGTAGAGATCTATTATTATGATCAAATAATCAGTTATGGAATTTACTGAAGTTTTTAAAAAGTAGTTTTGGCATATTGTTTGAAAGAGGGGGATGCCTGAACGATTTTATTTTTCATAGTCTTTCCAGGAATAACAAGGTGTTTTTCTTCTTGCTCAGCGAAAACTTGGCTAGGAATTAGGGATAGTAGATAAAACTTCTAAGTTTAGGGTTTGGAGTTTAGAATTTTTAGGGGTACTGGCAGGGATTAGAGTGGAGCACGTAATGAAGTATCGTGTACCAAAATATATGTCCAGGCACAAGTGAGATCAACTCTAAGAGCTGTTTGTGGCTGTGATTGTTTTGTAAATGTGTGAATGATACCAGTAATGTTGTCTTTTCCTAAGGTTGCAGGAAAACTTGTAGCTATGACTGTGTACATTTTACACAAAGCAGTTTCAGGTTTTATTTTTGTTTAGAAACTAGGAAATGATGGTGGTAGACTTAGTTATTTTTATCTTGAATTGAGTTACTGTCACACACCTAATGCAAATTTCCACCTAATGTATATGGAGTGAGGGGGAGAATGCCAGCTGTTTTTAATCGATGTCAGATCCTCCAATTATGTACATATATAGATTTCTAAAAGATCGAGGATAAAGAGAGGCCTAACTTGACCTGATGCCTTTTTCATACAGTGCCTTTTGTTCATTTAGTAGTTGTGGCATCTAGAATGATTACCGAATTTAGGAGTCGGGGTGTGGGGGGTGGAGAGAGAGGAAAACAGACAAAGAACAGCAGGGTGTCTTTTTTTCCCTCCCCCTAAGTGGCTTATTTCATAGCTTATTTTTAGTAGAAGATGAAGAAAGGCAAAGATGCACTGGCCTTCTGTTCTTCCCCACCTTCTTGCTGACAAAAGAAACCAGAGGTCTTTAAAATTGTAGATCTCTAAGATAGGAGGGTAACAGTCTTTAAGACAGAGGTTATCTTTGTTTCATGTTTGTTATTTCCTGGTCAGATGTAGTTCAGAAGTTAAAAATTTTCAGATTTCCTTTTGTGTGTGTTTGTGTGTGTTATGCTATGGGAATGAGATGTTTTTGTGGCCTCCTTTCTCTTGAATTCACATCAGTAGGCCCAAATGGGGCCGACAATTTTTGAGTGAGGTATATTTAGTAGGAAATTTAAGAGGAAATTCCCCAACCAACTACTAGAATGAGTACAATTAATTGTGAAAGGCCGTGGGGGGGGGAGTGAAAATGAAAGATGGTGGAGAGGAAGTAGAAAGAAAGGTCTGAAGGAATGTAAAGTACTTCTTGTCCCTCGGTGCCCCTGATGATTTCCGTGGTGTGGTGGCTGATAGCTGGTTTCATTGCAGACTACTCTTTCAGCCCATTTTTGGCTGTCTCCTGAGCATAATTATACCACCACGATTTACAGCTTGGCAGGGAACCTATATAGTAGGAAAGTAGCGGTGTGGGGGTAGGGAGAGAAGAGGATGTGTAACTAATTGGCCGCTGCCTTCTACCACCTTGCTAGGTTTCTTCCACACACAGTGGCAAGTTGTTGTTTGGAGTCTGATATTTCTTCTGTGATGGGTGATTGGTAGGAGGAGAGCTGACTCCCAAGTTATGCGGGGAGTGAGTGTTTTGCACCGGTGCACTTAATAATCTGCTGGGTGATTATGTTCTGAAACTCTGACTCACTCATTGTTTCTCTTCTGAATCTTCTGCTGAGGGTTGTGCAAACCTCCCCAGGAGCCTAGAAACTGATTTACATGACTTTTGGGTGCTGTAGGAATATGTCCCAATCAACACGCGCGCGCGCGCGCGCACACACACACACACACACACACACACACACTCACATGCACACGCACACACTCACCCACCCCAAAACGCAAATCCTGTGAAATAGTCTTATATAGTATGGTCATTTATTTGCAGTCAGGTAGATGGTGATCCTGTGCTGCTCCCAGCCTGGCACCCTTTGAGGTTTCCATCTTTAACCCGCTGATTATTTAAGATTGTCTGAGAACTGGGACTCTAGTGACCTTAAAGTGTGATTTGCCCTAAAGGAATATCAGTTTAAGTTCTCCCCAGTGGAGGAACAAACAGCTCAGATTACACAGGTTTCCTTGTTGGTGGGGGTTATAGTCTCACCCTGTTGCACAGCCCTTCGTGATCCTTTTATCGTGAACCAATGGCCCCTGCTGAAGGCTGAAGCTGCTTGTTTTGGAAAAGCCTATGCAGGCAAAAGGCCGCAGGCACAGCTCCTTGCAGCTCATTGGCTGCTCTGTTACTACCCGGAAAAGGAGGAGGGGTGGAACTACTAAACAGCTGATGGAGTGTGTGACAAGAGTGTGTTTACATACAAAAGAGGTGGGGGCTGGGGAGGCCTAGAGAAGGGTTATGGGACTCACACAGTGCATTTTCAAGCATAGAAAGGAAAACCTGACCTGTTAAGAGTATAAGAAATGTTCAGGGAAATTAAGGTTAAACTAGAAAAGTGGATCTGGTAATAATGGGGACTTGGCATACACCATATTTGTTATTGGTGTAAGATTTGGAAATTTACAAAGATTCTCTTTTTTGGAGGAGGAAGCAAGCACAGGAACAAGGCAGGATATGCCACTTTAAGGCTACTTGACTGACTCATAGGCAGGGATTCAAAAATAGGGTAAAAATGTAAGCTCCCCTCTTAAAAGCTTCCACAGTGATAGAAAGGGGCAGTGTCTTCTCACTAACAGCATGAGTGAATCTTACAAAATCATTAGTGGCTGCTTCACAGTTTTTATTTGTTCCTGGGAATTCAACACAGAGCCTTCATGCTGAGCTACATCCCAGCTCTTTGTTTTTTTTAGTTTGAAGCAGGGTCCAGCTGAGTTGCCAGGGTGCCCAGGCTGAGCTCAAACTTGTGATCTTTTGCCTTAGCCTCTCAGAGTCTGGTATTATAAACATATGCCACCATGCCAAGCTACGGTTTCTATAACATTCAAACCCTCAAGTATTTGAGCACCTCCTTTGGCCAGGCATAGTGTTGGGGGTGTTGTCTAGTGGTGAAAAATTCAGTGTGGGTGGTCATGGTGCTTGTGGAATTAGTTAGAACAACAAGAAGGGGGGTTTGAGACAGAATCTCCCCATGTGACCCAGGCTAGCCTTAAGTGAGTTCTAGGCCATTCTGGGCTTCATAGTGAGTTCAAGGCCAGCCTGAAATACAAAGGGAGACCCTGTCTCAAAAAACAAAACAAGACCAGAAAATAAAAAACCCAAATGTTTAAAAAACTGAAACAAGGGCTGGGCATTTAGCTCAGTGGTTCCACCACCTGCCTCGCAAGCACAAGGTCCGGAGTTCCAGGTACAAAAATAACAACAACAAAACTGAAACAAAAACATTAAGAAGTGTAGACATTTGTCTTTGACTTTGGCTTTGGTATTTTGCTGTTTTTTCAGTTCGTTCTTGCTATGTAGTTCAGGTTGATGTTGAACTCCTATGTAGCCCAGGCTGAGGCAGTCCTCCTGCCTCATCCTTTTGAGCGCTGGGATTACAGGCACGTGCCACCACACCCAGCTGGTATTTTGCTGTTAATCAGTAGTTATTTTATCCCTAAGTTAGTAGGTTTTGTTACTTTTT